GACTCTTAAGAGTCTTCTCCAGCACCACAGTTCAAATTATTTATAATAGTTCCCTTTTAATCTCTATGCCATGGGGTTTACAACTGGCCAAAGGTGGACCAGACCAAGTTCTGAGTATGCTCCCATTTCAAGATTTATGGGAAGTCTGTTGGAGTTGGGTGGCTAATAAATTTAAGATGGTGATGATGATGACAACACCAACTTGGGTGCAATCCCAAAACATCTGGAGCACCACTTGAAGACCATCAGCATTGACAAAATCACCATCAGTCCATTGTAAAAGGAAGCTTTGCTTGGAACAGCTTCCATCCTGCGATGATACCTCAAACACCATCAAACAACATCTGCCTATCCCAGGTCCTTGGGAAGGACTCAACAGGTGGATAAAAATGTCAAATCCAGCCTAAATATCTGGCTGACTGTGCGACCAACAGTAATAATTTCAACAATTGTAGCCCTTCTCCAACTTCAGCTCCCCACCATTGTATTACCTAAGCAAACCTCCAGGATCTGGGTTGGGGCCCAGAGGTGGTGTTGCAAATGCAGCTTATGCTTGCAGCTGGTGCTTGGCAATGCTGGATTGTTTCATGAAAACCTTGACCAATAAAAGGAGGAGGGCAGAGATGTTGATGTGTGTTAAAAGAATTTGTCGGCGAATATGTGTTTCTTCTACTGAGGGTCCAGGTGTTAGAAGAGGGCTGAAAATGGCTTTGCCAACATGGAGATGGCTTTCAGCAAAAGCGCGAGAACTTACGGATTCTCTGCTTCCATCTCAAGCAGGGCACTGCGGAGGTGAGGAAGGTACAAAAAAGGGGAATTAAAATGATCCCTGAGCTAGATTCCATTTCTTAGCAGAAAATGTTAGGATGTTTGGGGCTTTTAGCTTACCAGATTAAACTAAACCAAGACGGGATATACCAGGTGGTTGCTGGGTTAAGACCGCCGGAGTTACAGACAACCCACAGTTAAGAACGGAGCCTCTTGTAGCAAAATCCGAGTTAAATACACAATGATTCGAGTTCATTACACAATACTACTTATACAGTATTATACAATAATACAGTTCTGGTGTTGGACCCAAAACAGGGTTCTTAGCCCGGAGATGACGGCCAATAACTTCACCAGACACGAGAAACCCTTTAGAGCAAAATTCCTTTATTGGGACGCAGCAGTAAAGGGGATACCCCTATCTAAAGAGGCTCCCTGAACACAAAGATCAGGGTTTTTATACATTTTGCTTCAAGGAGATATAATATTTAGAGATTACTGATTGTTCAAGAAGTTCTTCATCACCTTAACTGGAATTTCTCTTTGATCTCTCTTGTGCAGCGGACCCGTCCCCACATCTTTTGTTTCCTCAAGAGATGTCGGCTACAGGTGAATACAGTTAATAGGTTACCAAGGTTAGATGTAGGCTAACCTAGAAGGGTCA